AAGCTCGTGATACATCAAGATTGTATCACCTCAACAACACGAGAGAGAGAGATAAAACACGTAGCTACTGGTACATACCCTCAGCCCCGAGGGTGAACTACTCCCTCCTTATCATGGAGAGCACCGGGATGATGAAGATGGCCACCGGTGATGGATTCCCCCTCTGGCAGGGTGCCGGAATGGGCTCCCGAGAGGTTTTTGGTGGCTACAGAGGCTTGCGGCGGCGGAACTCCTGATCTATTGTGCTCTCCAATGTTTTTAGGGTATATGGACATATATAAGCGAAAGAAGTCGGCCAGGGGAGCCACGAGGGGCCCACGAGGGTGGGGGCGCGTCCAGGGGGTAGGGCGCGCCTCCCTGCCTCTTGGCTTCCCTGACGTATACTCCAAGTCTCCTGGATTGCTTCCGTTCCAAAAATAACTCTCCCGAAGGTTTAATTCCATTTGGACTCCGTTGGATATTCCTTTTCTTTGAAACACTGAAATAGGCACAAAAAACAGCAATTCGGGCCGGGCCTCCGGTTAGTAGATTAGTCCCATAAATGATATATAAGTGTAAAGTAAAGCCCATAAACATCCAAAACGGGTAATATAATAGCATGGAACAATCAAAAACTATAGATACGTCGGAGATGTATCAGCCCACCAGGCGGCGGGCCCCAGCAGCCGGCGGAGAAGCCGACGACCACAGACACCGACGGCCCGGGCCTACACCCGGCAAGATTACCATTGTACCCCGGGTGTAGGCCTATATAAACCCCCCAGGGCACCCATGCAAAGGGTTCAGCCTCTTAGAGATTACGCGCACACGTAGAGAGAGGGGTAGAGCTAGCCTTGCCCTTCTTCCTCCTCTAGCCAAACAGCTCAAGGAGCAGCCTTGTAGCCACTTGTTGATCTAGTGATCATGCGAAAACCCCGCAGAGCAGGACTAGGGGTGTTATCTCCTAGGAGAGCCCCGAACCTGGGTAAGATGCGTCGGCGTGCATGTTTACGCCTTATCCCGCTTCCAGGCACCGGCGATGTTCTACTAGCTCCCACTATGATCAGCCATCCTTTGGCATATGTCGCACCAACCACCCGACATTTGGCGCCCACCATGGGGGCTAGGTGCACCGTCGTCGGAGATCTGCTCTGGACGGGAACCTTGTTCGTCCCTGGCGAGCGCAGCCAGCCCGGCAGGCTCGATGGAGTTTGCACCGACGCGCTGCGTGGCATCAAGTCGCCTGCGCGGCGAGCTGCCTCACTGATCTCATCAGCGAGATCCGCCTCTCCGACGAGCCCGCGCCAGGCGCGGGCATAGCCTGCTCCAAGAGCTACCTCATCGACCTCCTTGGCAAGCTCGACATCGCCAACGAGCCTGCCTCCAACTTGGAGTCGATTGGCTCCACCGACCCGATGCTTGTCAACTCTGACACGGCATCCCACGACGCCTTCCCCACCAACGTGGTGGTCATTGACGACCTGCTCCCTCGTGCCGACAGCAGCGGCAGCACCGTCACTGAGGTGCTCGTCATCAGCCATGGCAGCCATGGCGGAGCCTCCGGCGCAGACGCCCACGACCCGATGCAAGCGACGATGTAGGACATGTCTGTCCCCATCGCAGGCGACACCGACGCAGAGACGCTGTAAGCCCACCGCGTCGTGCTCATCGAGAGCGGCAAGAAGTTAGCCACTATGAGATGCCTCACCAAGGCCTATCAGCGCGAGGTAGATCGTGCCGTCTGTAGCATGCCGGCTGCTGGCGAGCCCAGCTGCGTGGGCGTTGTGAAACAGCGCGGCATGACCATCGCTAGCATGCTGGGGGCCAACCGCCCTGTCTACGCCACGCCCATCGAGAACCTGCGTGCTGCCCAGGCAACATCAGACGAGCTAGAGAACGTGGATGGTGACGAGCGATGCTGCATGACACAGCGTGTTCAGCAGCTCATCGACGCGGCTGCCGTGCAGCAAGAAGCCGGCGCGCGCGCCAAGAATCCTCCCCCCACGCCGAGAGCCGGCGCGACCTCCCGAACGCTGACAGTAGACAGGGCCTCACCATCGAGCGCGACCAAGATGGTTGCCCACGAACTGTGGAGCGGCGGGACGACTGTCTGCCTCCCCCTCCACCTCGCAGGGAGAGGTATGCCTTCCCACCGCATGTTGAGCACCCGACGCTCAGCGGCCAGCTGGGCCGCCGTGAAGGAATTGGAGAAAATGATGCCCGCCATCGGATTGACCGCCTGGCACGATCCCTAGCGCTAGAAGAAGAAGCTATGTTTGGTCCGCCTTGTTTTGGCTCCTGCATTCGCGACGAGCACTTCCCCAAAGGGTTGTCGCTCCCAAGAGACACGCCCAAGTACAACGGCTCGGTAAAGCCGGAAGACTGGCTGGTCGACTACTCCACCGCAGTCAGTATAGCAAACAGCAACAAGCGCGTTGCCGTGAAGTACGTCCCCCACATGCTTCAGGGCACGGCGCGCACTTGGCTGAACAGCCTCAAGCCCTATAGCGTCAATAGCTGGGTAGATTTCACCGAAGTCTTCATCCGCAACTTCACCAACACTTACAAACAGCCGCCCAAGCCTCACCAACTCTCTCTGTGCGTCCAAGGCCCAGCCGAATCCACTCACTACAAGAAATATGTCAACTTGTGACCTTGACTATTGGTAACTGAAAGGTCATTGTTTTTCATTTGCGACCTTTTTGTGACAAAAAACAGAAGGTCAAAAGCTGGCGGTCGTTAATTGACTATAGCGACCTTCTCTGTGAGAAGGTCGTTGACGTTTACGACCAAAATATTCCTACTGTGGCGTTTTGGTCACTAGCAACCTCCCCAGGCCACGTAGGCATCCAGCGTGGCAAGCTGATGTGGCACACGATTCAGCCCGGTCCAATTCGGTTTTCTACATGGGCCTACCCCAACAATTCGGCCTTTTTATATATTTTTTCTATCAATTTTTTATCGGCTTCATGGGCCAAGCCCAACATTGCATCCTCTTTTATTGTTGGGTTGTGGCCTTTTTGTCTAAACAAATTTAGTTTTTCTTTTTTCCCCAAAGGAAGGGTCCACTAGTCAGATGGGTCCCACTTGTCTGGTTCTGGTAACTGGGTTCCATTTGTCATGTTCTGGTAAGTGGGTCCAATCTAGGGTTGGAAAAAGCGGTAGGCGTAAGCGAGGCGGTTGGCCTTCGCCTAGTGCCTAGGCGGTGCCTAAGCGCCCTAGGCGCGGCCTAGGCGGTAATATAGTTTTTTACTCGTAGTGTATTTTTGATTATTATATGGGTGTTGATATTAGTTTAGGGCATATAAATAAGTTAATTACCATCTACTGCCATTGCAATATAACCCGTTTGGCATATTAGTGCAGTATGTGGCATGATTTCCTGCTTGGGTAGGCAATTCCTTGCTTGCCCTGCCTAGACCTCCATTTATGCCCTAGGCGAGGCGTTTGGCCATTGCCTAGCGCCTAGGCGTGCCTAAGCGCCTCCTAGGCACTGCCTTTTCCAACAGAGGTCCAATCTATCAGGCTCATATTCTTCATATTTGAACCAGTATTTAAATGGGCAGACAAAAAGCACACATAATACTTCAAATAAAAGCAACCAGATCCTTACAAGTGTAATACAGTGGCAATCACAGTAATGACTTGTGTAATACAGTACTTTACAAGCTTTACAAGCAATCACAAACTGGCACCCTCTCCCGTCATGAACATGCCAAACTCACAACATGCCAAACTTGTTGGACTACCATAGTGATATGAACAACATGCCGAGCTAGCTGGACAACCATAGTTAGGGCTGGGAACAAACAAAACGGCCTTCAAGAAAACAGACAACATGCCTTCCTTGGTCGCCCTGTTACATGAATCAGCAGAGAAGAATCAGAAAAAGTGAGGCAAGTATATTATGAACAGACCATTCATGAAAAGGAAACTTATTTAGAATGATAATACAAATTGAGCTAGTACCATGCTTTTTGTTCTCCATCTAGTTAAAATTAGATAACTCGTTCATACAAGAAAACAGAGACACAATATGAATACACAACAGGATTGACAAGTACACAGCAGGATTCAATAATTTTTTAGGATCGCAATACACCAATATAAGCTAGAATTGACAAGTACACAGCAAGATTCAATTCATCTTTCCCATATACAGCAACCAACAGACATCTAACATTTCAGCATGCACATACAATTTATTTACTTATTTTTGAGCAAAACCGCCCACTGCCAAACAGAATGTCCTTTCATTTGATAAATAAAAATAGTAGGCCAAAGAAAGGCAAGCGTACAACAGACACATTATAGATGAGCAAGGTACTAGAGGTCTACACACAAGTCATGTCATATATTCTGTTAATCTTTAACACATCATATAGAATTATGAGCTTGACAGTCGTCGATCTAACCATATCACGCAAGCAACGGCATACAAACTAATTGGCAGTACTATATATGATGCAGCATACGGACAAAATTTCTACCTTGTTATCATCAGGGAGCAACAGGGGGTGGGGGAAGATTTCGATCGGCTCCGTGTCAGCTACCATCACCACAAACTCAGAGTCTTGGTAGCTGGGGAAAACAGAAAATGGAGATTAAAAATCATAGGAACTGAAATTAGCAGGACCGACCAAAGCGTGCAGCTAGGGACTGGTCACCTTCAAGGTAGAACAATGAATTAACTAGTTTTAGTCAAAGTCTTAAGCATGCACATACAAACATATATATGAATTGAACCAGAATCCATATATGTCTATGCACTTAATTGCAGGTTCTATCCAACTTGCACTTGGAAAGAGTACAACCTGGTTTACTAGCAGCCAAATAAAAGATTCAGGTTCTGGGCTTGGTGCATGAATCCTACTACGTGGACAGACAGAGAGGAAAGAGTTGAGCAGGAGAAAGAATTCATTCATCTTTATTGTTCCAGTAGCAGGAGGTACAGCTTGGCTACAGTTTTAGAAAGGCAAATTAAATTACTACAGTACACTAGTGCAGAATGACTGAAGTCATCATAAGAACTTGGCAGTACCTTCAAAGTACATGAAGACACTATCCTTTCGGTGCCATGGCTTATGCTGTCTCACAATGACAGCCGGCATGACTTTCTTCCTCAGGTGTGGCTTTCCCTTCTTGACAGTGGCCATAACCATGTCATCAATGCAGGTAGAAGGGAGCCTGTTCAGGCGCCCCTTGATTACCTTCACGGAGATTATGTAGAGGTTCTTGGCACCAGTGTTATCAGCACAGTTGACAGTGGCTGCCACCGGCAGACCCAGCGACATTCAGAACTTGTTACCAGCAGAACCTCCGCGCCCTGCGGTTCAAGAACAAGCATACACAAGGCAGATAGTTAGGCAAAACGATCACACATATCTATGGTACACTAAACCAATAATCTGGAGATGCATAATAGCACACACCAGTTTGGGTTTTAAAAAATTTCATCTTCAAGCATCACACTAGCAAATGATAGGAAAGATCATAGGAAATAGGACTGCCCTGATCAAGTATACATAAGCATAGAAAAGATCAAACAAGCTCATTGTGCATTTTCTCTTTCAATGTGATACACAATAAGCATAAGTAACCACTAGGAAAATAACTTGCTATCTACAGGCCCTATTATCGGCAACAAGAACATTACGCAAGGAAGAACAGTATATTAACAAAGCAATCTGTTAGACAACATTATGTGGGGGCTACATGAGTATTATGTGGGGGCTGCATGATCCGTCATTTTAAAATGCTTCCTAAAAATACAAGACTGAAAGAATGCAAAAGGTGCATCATTTATGATATGTTTAGCGTTTCTATTTGAACTGGAATAGGATTGCATAAGCGTATCCAGCAGGTGATCTGAACCGGTGCATAAAAGGAACTGCTGGTGCTGGCAGCCAATTTAAATTCAGCATACAAAGTTTAATAGATCCTGGACTGGAATATGCCTTGGTCACCAAAGGAACCGGATCAGCTTGTTTCTTTCATACACGAAAGGTGACGCCTATCATACAAGTAGGCAGGCAACTGTCCTGGAAACTTCATGATCTAAATAGATTACAAGATGAACTCCCCGGAAAAAAATCACTAAATGAACTGATCTAGAAGGATACTACAGTGCTACTACATGGCTGCACTAAAGAATGTGAAGATGCAGTTCTAGATACGTAGGATTTGAATCAATTTTGGTTGTACAAGTAGAGTTCTTCACTGTGACCGTGAGAGATTTCCATGAAGCAATGCGAGTCGGTTTTCAGTAGCTACTACTAAGACAGACTGACTGAATAGTTCTATCTACGATATTCAGTTCTATGGAAAGAAAAATGCTATGCCAAGGCGCAAATGCGCTAAAGATCAAGAATCAAGACCCCGGTAATTTATTATTACAGAAAAACGCACCCTCTGCTTCATGAGCTCCAGGTTGCCGATGCTGTCGCCAAGGATGGCGCGCCTCTCCTCGTTGTCCCAGCAGGCGTTCTCCAGGACCCTAAACCACCACAGCAACAACCAGTGAGCTAGCTAGTTAACTGAGCAGAGGGTTCATACATTGAAAAAACAGTGAAATGTCTGAGGAACAGTGCATTACCTCAGAAACTGAATATATTTCAGTGTTGAAGCCAATTTCCTCTCCCTCGTCATTGGTACCAAAACCCCTAGGTTGTCCGAAGTAAATCCCTGCCACGCAGAGCAGTACAAATTTCAAGTTTCATCAGAATGCACCTGGAAATGCATAAATTAGCAAGAAAAGAGGGGCAACCAGTAACCACCCATGTCTCATCATAATTTAGTCAACAATACCTCCAGTAAGCTCTCTAACAACCATGATGTCCACTTCTTCAGCCACCTCTTTCTTCAAAGTACATGCATCTACTAACTACAAAAGTGCCAGGTCAGAGAGGGAAGTAGTTACACAGGACATTATTATTCTTAAGTGAATTAAACAAGTCCACCCATCCCAAATCCTGCAGCTATGGCTACATTTGCTAGTATTTTGCTACTTGGTTAAACTATGTGCCGCTACTAGAGATTACATCGGGGATGCAGGAGACAATCTCATGCGTTCGATACATGGCCTTGGATGCAACTAGCAAACTAGAGTACGAAAGGCAGTGCTGTCGAGTAAAGCATAATACTTATGTGAAATGCACTGAAGCTGAAACAAGATAGGGATATATACCTGCGGCAACACCGTGGCTGGCCGCAGACTGGCGAACATGCCGAGCCTGGCACGGATGTTGAGCAGCCCGGTCTCAGGCTTGAGATGCTTCTCATTGTTGTCCCACTTATACCTGCAAGCGCAGCATCAACGTCCATTTACTGAAACTGAAAGTCACAGATGCACATCACAACTTCTGAACTAATTACTATTGCCAGATTGTTTCCACTCACCCTCCTATCGCGCCGAGCAGGATGGCGTCGGAGGCCCGCGCCGCCGCGAGCGTCTCGTCGTGAAGCAGACGTAGTCATGGTTGTAGGAGATGTGGAGCAGGTCCGCGGCAGAGGTGCAGGGGTGGTCTGCGGGGCGATGACGCGGACGAACTGCAGCGGAGGCAGGAGCTCGTGAAGAGGCCATCCATGGCGGGGCTGTTGTAGATGTACCTGAGAGAGAGGGAAGATGCATGAGGGAGAGAGAGAGAGACAGAGGAAAGGAGAAGGACAGGACAGGTGTAGGTCTCGTTCGCGCGTCGCCGGCGGAGAGGGCCACCGCCTCCATGGCCGGTGACTGGTGTAGGTCTGCTGGGCACCGTCGAATCCCGCCTTAGGTCACCAGGATTGGGCGCCGGAGGTGGCGGTGGGAAGTTGGATCTGGGAGTGGGAAGAGGGGAGAGGATCTGAGGTGGGGAGGGGAGGTGTGGCGGAG